CCCCCCCCCCCCCTCATCCATTGCTCATGCATTTTCTGTCTCTTCTGTACACACATTTACACTCACTCACCAGTCCAGTGACTTCGACACAAAGATTGCACCAGGCTTTTTGTGTTGTGCAATGTGTCTCACTCCAACCAGTGCTAAACCGGACAACTCGCTGTGTATAACGTTTGGGTAGTGGCAAGCGGAACTCTCTCCCCACCCTGGTGCTGCTGTTAGGAGCCAAGGCGATACTACTCGGGGACTTTAGCACACCAACACCTCCGCGCGCTCCTGAGCGTGAGGGAGGTGTGGGGGTGAGCGAGAGGAGGAGGTGTCAATCCTAGCGCTGCTCAGTGACCATCGCGGCGCCACCCAAGTAACACCTTAGTCTGTTACGCGGCCACAAAACTTCACGTCGTCAAAATCATTTTCACGTTGAGATAAATAACGGATTAACCAGTAAACGGAATTACGACGGAGTGATTTTTTTTTCATGGTTATTACACAACCCTTTTTATTCATTACTCCTATGATTTTAGTAAACAAGTGGTTATTTATTTTGTGGTAAATCCAAGTGAGAGTTCTTGAGACGTATTTATTTTGTGAGAATTGTGAAAATTATATGAGAATTCTTGGCTAGAGATTGAAGGGTATTAAAGATATGACATGTAATGCCGGGAACTTACCATCAATTTTGCCGGCCGTCGGACGCTGTGGCAAGGCTATAGGATTGTCATTAAATTTTCAATAGGATATAATTGTTCGGATATTCACTGAGGATTTTTTGGTGGCGAGTTTCGAAGGGGAAATGTTGGCATGATGAAATAATAGTTGAACGAAAATTTTCAATCGCAAAAGTTGGGCAATCAAAGTTGACAATAATGTTATCGTGTGGCAAAGTGCTCGCGACGTGAATCGAATTTATTCGATGGATCCAACGTGATACCACTGACATAATTGATAAACAAAGTAAATGCAATAAATCACTGATGAAGTGAATTACAAGTTGAAGTGATATTGTGCAGTGAACAAATGAATCGATTATATTAAAATTTCCGAAAAACAATTCGAAAGATGTCGGTTTTGTTGGGGTCAAGATCAGGGCGTGTTTTTAAAAAAGAAATTTATCTACTTCGTCCAATATCGCGAGAACGCTCCAAAAGACCAGCATGAGCATGCACATCATTGCTAGTTGAAAACATTTGAAAGAGAAATATTAAAAATCCAAATGCAGAATTTCAAAATTTATTGATAGAAACTACGGGGAATAATATCGGATACGTAAAGACTTGAAGGTGAAAAAAAAAATATCTCTTTCAAAGGGATAAAGTAGGAGATTATTGAGTCACTCGAAGAGTAATCGACTCCATAAAAAAAAACCGAAGCTAATCTCGATGAGATTCGAACAAGACACGCCGTGCAGGGGTACCCACTGCGCCAGTACACCATTACAGGCACCGCAGCGTATTCACCCAAAGATAGAATTAGAAACACCAGTCGAGGAGGTGTCAGCCGATCATACTGATTACCCCAACCGTGATAAACGCACTGATACAAATTATTACGATTGCAATAGTGATAAATTTGAGCTTGTGAATAACGATACAGTTGAGGGTGGAAAAACGGGTCACAGAGGGGTGACGGGGGGGCCTGGGATGGCGTACCCCGCACCAGCAGGGCCAACAATTAATCAACACTCGCCATTTTCAGCGATAAGTAATTCGGCGAGTCAGGGTAACGGACATATTGCAACGAGCCATTTACCGGCACCGGCGGCACCCAGACCGACTGATTTTAGTGTTTCTTCGTTGTTGACCGCTGCCAATACTCATTCAACACATTTGGGGGGATCCTCATCACAGGGTAGTGCATCACCACCCCCTGGTGGACCCAGTAGTCCAGCTGCTGCACCTGAAACACCACCACCGCATAATAATCAAAGAGACTTATCGCACAATTCAGCGGAGGCAGCGGCTGCTAATTATTTTAACGCTTTGGCTGCTGCCGGATTCTGCAATCCAGGGGCACACTTTCCCACCAATAACTCACCAAACGCACATCACTTAGGAGCTAAAGGACTCATTGGAAGTCCTCATCATCATCCGCAGTTCAATCTTCACGGTCTCACGCCTCAAGGTCTGTCTATTTCTTTATTCTACCGGTTAATATTATTATGGACAAACATATGTATTGGTCAGGATGGTAATTTCAATGAAAGTTATACACCAAAAGTTTTTTTTTTGACATCTAAACAAGTTATGGTGGAAGACTAATCAGCGCAGGAAGGAATTAATCACGTCAACTCCATTGTCAGTTTAAAAAAATAATTAAATCCATACGATTATTTTTTATTCTCGCATTATCCATTGTTATGATGATTTATCTAGAGATTCTTTTCTTGATTATCCTCTCACTTTGATCTAACTGGCTGTTTATATCAACTATTTTATCAGCAAAAATTCATTTCTCGTTGGTTTGTTCATACGGAAATTTTTTGGTATATGATCATAATATAGCACGAACTATGATTCGGCCCCATCGTGTGGTTATATACGTTGCGTAACGTCCGGACAACATGCGAATTTACCACGCAAATACTTGTACTTCAATGGAGTAGGGGAAATCCATTTGTCTTTTTCGTGATTCTCTCGTGTTGGATTGTGTCAAACTATTTTCGAGTAGTTTTATACTCTCTTCTCAAAAAGTAACTGCTACAGAAAGGATTTAAGTGAATCCATTGAGACAATTGGTAAATTTGTAGCTATTTAATATAATTATTACAAAAATAATCGATGTGTCCGTGAAAACATTCTACAGCGAATGGTGGTTGAGGAAAATTTTATGGAACTATTACCCATTTTTTAAATTATTTTTATATCCATAATATGCATCTGAATTTTTTATGAACAATTACAACGATCAGTGTTTTTTGTACTTTTTACGGAATATCTTTTCGTGTGTAAGCATCTTTCATTCTAGAATCTAGTATATTCTGCTTTCAATCCGACGTCCATGAAAAATGAATTTTCATTCGATTATATCATCAGCAATAAATAAATTCAATAATAAAATAACACGCACACTCCGTGTTAAGTGCAATTGTTACCGAGCATTTTATCAATGTCCTCGATTAGCAATCAAAGTCCTATCCTGATATCCGCGATTACATACAATATAATTTAATTCTTACTTTCATGCATGCGAAATTCGACTTGCCACAACGATGCGCGTCACAGAACAAAGTCATTCGAGTTCTTCTTTACCTCCACATTGACACATTGGTCCTGACGCAAATAATTATGTAACATTCCATCGCGATGAACAATAAATTTAATGTTGACTATAAGATGAGTATCAATGCTCCACATATACTCCTAAGAGTGTGTGGCAATACAACAAAAATGAAATTTCATTAATTATCTCATTAGTTTATTCAATTTTCTTTACATCTTTCCGCAATTTTTTTGTGGATTTAATTACAATTGACTGTAAATTATTAGAAGAACAATGGTTAATCATCAGTCAAATTTCAGAAAGCAAAGATGGCAGAATGAAAAATTGAAAAGCGCATAAAGTTAGAAAAGCGCATGCAAGAGAGCAATAAATTTTCGAGTATTCCCGGGATAATTAAGACTGAAGGGATGCGTTAATGAAAGTAGAGATAAAGGGCGACGATTTCAGAAACTCATCGACTCCAAAACCACTGGGTTTTACAGCAAAAACATGAGCATATATATATTCTTTCTATTATGGGTTAAACGAAATATTTCCCAATTTCTTTGGACAAATCGATTATTTGGTTATTTAAATATTTATCGAATAGGTTTGATAATTCTAGCACACACTTTAGGTCTATTTTTTTATTATGAAGTGACTTCATTCAATTTTGAATAAAAAAAAAATGGTTAATTGAAAAACCTTTCGACCGCCATTAATTATTGTTAATTTAAACCATGATGAAAAAGGGGTTAGGTTGCGTGTGGTCTTTTAAAATCCGACCTCAGTGACATATCCGTCGCTTACCCTTAATTTGCATCGGCCACACATTGGAGATCATATACAATAAGTGATGGTGGGCAGTCATTGCACGATTCCACGAACTACGTATGTAAAAATGCCGTCCATGAATAATAAAATGAAAAACAAGTGGATAAAATAATAAAAAAAATAATGAACCTAGACGTGAAAAATGATGGAATGCCAGAGATCATGGGAGACGTACTTAACTGTCAGTCATAATTAAATCGAAGAATAATCAATGGTTGCAAGATCATGTTTTAAAGACATAAAGGATGAAGAGTGTGAGTGTTGATTGAAGTTCAATTTTTTGGTGTTAACTGTGGTTGAGCACTCGTCCAGAGGACCATTCTCCCTGGTATCATGTGATATCCATTCACGCGTGGACGTATCCCGTGTACATTTAGTACTGTGCGTCAGTAACTCATACGAGAAAGCGCCTTTTCCCCGGAGCATGACGAATTCGTTGATGTGAGTGTATACACACAGGGATTTGACCATAGAGAACGAAGAGAACAAATAGGGCGAGCTAGTCCGAAGCGAACGCATTTGGCTTGTTTTCCTCCGTGATGATCGATCATTCTGTTGAAAAAAGCAGCATGGACGTGATATCTTCGATGGAATAACTCAAATCTTTCGGAATGTTCCGTGATATTTCAAATTATATTAATATTTTCATTCGTCAGTTGAGTAATCTTCAGTTATTTTTTATTAAAAAAGAACACAATAATGAATGATGATGATTTTTTTTAGATGAAAGATTATAGAATTAATTTTGCGAGTGTTTCTTGAGAATTATCAGCTGTGAATGTTCTTGAATGAATTTCTTGATGAAAATATTTTATTATTGCAAATGGATTCCCAATGATTGTGGATTCGTTTTTATTTATGTTCTTTGGAAAGTGAGCGCAGATTAAACAGCCTCATTCAACTTTCTTCCGGAAAGTTTTTGCACTTGTTGCTGTGGTTTCGAGTTTCATCATAGCGAAAAGAATTCAAATCGCGTGGTTCTGTCATCGTGGACTTAACAAGTGGATTTTGACAGGCAAACATAAAATTTCCCGACTAGTTGTGAAATTTATTTCAATTATAGTGACGAGAAACATCACCTTTCATGCAGCATAAAAAAATGTTGCATTATTGAATATAAAAATCTTTATGAAAGGTTCCATGCAATTGTTCTTCACAAGCGAATACTAAAAACGAACATTTTGAAAATACAAAGTAAGAAAAATTTATATAATGGTACCGAAAAATACCGATTGGCTATGAAATTCAAATCTTGCATTCTGCCAATTGAATTTAATAAACCAAGACATATTCCTTTCATACATGAATTTAAACTGAATCGTTATGTAAAAATTCTAGGCATTTAGACGTCTCTAGTATATTTTCTCGGTAAAAGCCTTTCTGCGTCTCAGTGTGTTAGTTACTAATCGATTGATTGAATCCCAATTCATTCGTAATGGTCATCTAACCCGCAACACAAAATGTAACTCCAAAATCCCAAACTATAATTAAATGGAAGAAATCAATTTCATTCCATCAACATTATTATATTATAGAGCGTGCTATCCAAGGATCATTTGATTCCAATTTGAAACCTTATCTTGTCTGTAGCAGTCTGCATTATATATAATTTCCTACTGAATCGAGGCGTTGATAATGGCGTCGTTTTTTTATCTTCTAATAGACAATACTATTCTCACTAGTTTCAATGGTCGCACATAGACTGATATATATTTTTTAGATGGCTACGGTAAGCCGACTAGTAAATGGACGATGGTCAATAATTTTTCTTTCTATAGTAAAATGTCCACCGATCGGGATGAAGGGATTATCAAATAATTTGATAAGAATATCGGTATCAGATTGAAAAATAATTTTAAACAAAATAATATTTCGGAGATTATCACCCCCTTATTAAGAACTAGTTGCGTGATTATATTCCACTCCTGAATATGTCAATGGGTAATAAATTTCAGGATGAATGAGTATTATTGATGAAGTAAGAAATATTTTTATCAATTCCTTGTATGATGTTGGTGATTGTTGTTTTTAGGTCTTGGACTGGGTCCTCACACGCCTGAGGAAGCGAACGCTGCCGTCCTGGCAGCCGCAGCAGCAGCTCTACATCACCACCATCAGGGTGGGCCAGGTGGACCGGCCATGAGGCCACTGAGGTTGCCACTGCCTCCGGGCATGATGCACTCATCGCCACTACCTCTGGCCCCCCATCATCCACTGGCTGCACCCCATCATCTTGTACCACCTCATCCTCCTGAGGACGATGGTGTTGTTGATGATCCGAAAGTTACCCTCGAGGGTAAAGAGCTCTGGGAAAAGTTCCACAAACTTGGAACCGAAATGGTGATTACCAAGAGCGGCCGGTAAGATATTTTTTCTCATTCTGTTATTATACCAACGTTTTTCCAATTCTTGATAATTGTCGAACGTTAACATCCGCTTGCTAAGATCTGTTCATCGAATTGGGAAAGTGAAACAATGAGTATGACTCTAGATTGTATGGATTACCAAAACTGACGATATATTTTGTTTTATATGATTGGTGTATATTCTATGTACATGATGTTCCCCAGTTCAGCCATCGTGTAAATTTTCTACCAATTGTTGAAGTGAAATGCAAAGGTAGTAGTACGTCATCCAAACTTTCTAGATATATACTGTATTCTATTATTGGAAAAATCGTGATGGCGAATTGAAACTTCTCTGAATAATCGCTAGATTCTTTAGTTTTGTCACCACACAGTCTATCAATAATTCAATCGACACAGCTATAAGTAATCGTCGATCGAAAGCCCGTCTTTTCTCTCCATTTCCTCTTTTGTTTGGACTTTTGTCTCCAAACTTTCATGTGTCTGCACTTGTACATGACGAGAAATATTCGAGTGCATAAGTACAGATTAAAATAAGAAGTGGGTGGAAGGGGAAAAATATACATGTCAAAAAGAAAGCAGAAAATTGAAGATAAAAAAGGGGATAGGAATGGATCTACCACCTTCTTCTCTGTCGTGCGGTGTAAAGACCTGCTTTTGCGGTCGGTTACAAAGACATTGGGAGGTGCTCGCGCGCGCACTTCAACGCCCGATTGGAAACTTTTCCTCTCATAATTTTCCTTTTTTCCATTTCTTTTTATATATTTTTCGGTCTCTTTGATCACTCTACTCCTATGATCGTCCGTGTGCAAGCATCATAACAGATAAAATTCAAGATACTCCTCAAAAGTAATTTTTCGAGTGACTGACTCCAACTTCATAGTTTATTAGAAATAAAATATTATGAACTCTGGATGCAGGAGCCAGTCGACTTGATATCTCGGAATCAATACGATATGTGTTCTGAGGTTTAGTAGAGATCAAACGATAGATCCTTTACGGTGTGATTGATCACGATGGTTTAAAGTCGGTGTGACCGATTAGGAATTGAAATAATGATTTAAAGATAAAATTCCAATTTTAAAAGTATTCAGTAAATTACCGTGTGTACCTAGAGGAAGAAAGAATGGATGGAGCGAAAATTTAGATTAAGTATATTATATACTTGATTCTGGTACTTTCGATTTTCAATGGTAATATTGCTGAAGAATTAATTTTCGCTCAAATTCAACGTCTGATAAATGAAAACTACCGCAAGGTGGCTCTGAGGTTCTGAGGGATTCTAACCTCTCATCACATCGAATATACTAGGATAAAGTATAAAATATACTTGATTCAAGTATATTTTTCCGGATGTACTCTCCCACTCATCCTAGCCATTGTTCTATTTCGTACATATAGAGGAGATTTTATTTTTAAACGACAGGATGTAAAAAATGTTTATATATATACCCATCCACATCTATTGAAAATATCTGGGAAATATTTAAAAAAATAATAAAAAAATAAATAAATAAAATAAGAATATAAAATTGAAAAAATAAAAAAATATTTTAAGAATCATGGGGCATGAAGACATTATGTAATTTCGTCCCTCGATTTTTTGAATCCTTATATTTAATTTCCCTGCATATCTGATTTGGTAGAAAAAAATAAATCATGGCTGTTTATGGCAATTCTCTGCAAATTGTATTTCTTCAAATACCAAGAGCAGTCGTAGGTATTCAATTTTTACACTTCAGTGTGCAGTAACTAGCCGATTATACACGCGGACAACTCCGCTCCCCGCGTGTAATTGGCCGGTTACTGCACCCTGAAATATAAAATAACGTACACCACTTGGGCTTAATATACCATTTCAGTGTAGTTTAACCTTGCAGAGAAATGAGTAAACAAAGGAATCATGAAAATCCGGAATCAGGAATGAGGAAGAATTTTCAAAAGCACAAGGCGTTTCTCCCCATTCTACGGAAAGAAATAAATACTTCAATCAAGTTTAATAAATACTTGATTCAAGTATTTTTTCCGTGTATGCTTCTCTCTATTTTCCGGACTGAATCACTAAAATCTTCATTTTTATTTATAATCATAACACCATCAATTAATATATTCCAACTAATTACATATTAGCAATGACCTACAGTACTTGAAATAAACGGATGAACAAAAGGTCGAAATTCAAAAAGATGTCTTGCAGAATAAAAATCAAAAATAAAAAAGAAGTTACAGGGCCTCTTGCTCAAAAATCTACTAGCTATTAAAAGCCCGGGGTAAATTAATTTTCATATCTCTAACTTTATCGGATTAACTAATTATAGTTAACAACTAATAACGTAATAAGGGTAGCAAGAATTAATTTATCCCACAGTGCACACAGCTAAAAGACGTAGAATGAAAAAAAAAAATTGAATTTTATTTGCGAGCAAAAGCTGGTCGGGAGAAATGAAGTTCTCCAGAATTAGGGAATTATCACAACCATATAATACCATATACAACGTAGATTGTAGTTAAAAGGAACGTGTCACACAGAAGGGTGAGCATGTATGTTCACCTCTGCATATTTAACGTGGCGACGGACAGGTGCGTGAGAGTTGGGTCGCGTCTATGGATGAAGAGGATTCTATAATCCTTTGTGGTGGATGGCATGTTAGAATTTCACTCTCAATTATTATTTTTATCTTTCTTTACTCTATCTTAAAGCGATCACGCAAGTATCATTATGTCTAATGAAATTGCATATTAATCAAGCAAATACGATAAAAAAGTGAAATAAATTATTGAGCAATTTTTGTACGTTTTTTTTTTTCTTTTTTCGTCGGCAAATATATGGTCAAGTGCGTTATCAACATCTATTCAAGCGCCTTACGTCTTCCTTGAGTTAAACTTGAGCCGGCGGCAAGAAAAGAGAGAGGTGTAATCTCGCGACTATGGTGGAAGTCTCAACGCTCTAAATCAATCTGCATCGATAAATCGGTCTGGACGCGTCGTCTGGCCATTTAAACATCAGCATCGAGGATAAAACATATGTATGATACGGGGACGAAAAGGGAGGGCGCCAATTGCTGGGAGTTTGTACTCGAGTCAATGATAATTACGGCCTTGCTAAATTACACTTTTGATAGTGAATGGTATTTTATCTTCGGGGTTGATAGGTATGTCTTAATATATTAGAGACAATGTATTATAGACTTACCGGTAGATAGAAGGTAGAGAAAGTCATATCGATTACCAATTCAATACTCTTTTGGGATATTAAAAAAAGCGAGTGAAATATTAATGAGAGTAAAATATATTATCTATATAAATGTTGTCATTCAGAATAAGCTATAATAAGCCTTCAAGAAATTTGGGGTAACGACATCAGTTTTGAATTGACCAATTTAATCATTTCAAGAATTAAAATAATCTTTATTTCAAAAATATTTTTTATTTGGTCTCAATTCGCGAGAAAACCTAAAATAGTTATGAGTGTATGGAAATTTTTGAAAGTATATTTTCAAGGGTTATTAATTTAGGGATAATCATTAATCTTAAAATAAAGAATTATATAACCAGAAATGTTTTATATTCAGTAAAAAGAGATTGAAAAAAGCAGTACCTGCGAAATTCGGGGAATTGAGCAGGTATCGGTATACGTAGGGTATAATTGCGGAACACTTTTCTCTACTAAGTCACACTAAAAAAAAAATTGGAGTTACCCTCATACGATTTTAACTGGTATTATAATCATTCATTAATTGTAATTGAAGGAAAAGGTAAGATAAGAGAGAAAAATTGGGTGGATGAAAAAGGATAACAAATGTATGGAAAAGATTCAGAGACCTCCGGGGATGTGGTTTGAACGATGGAAAAGTGAGAGGTCTAAAATTCAGCTTGGAAGATGCACATATTTGAAGGGTAAATAATGCAGGATAGAATGAGAGGTCTTTAAGTATAGGGCACGGTTAACGATGTTTGTTTTATACATTGGCAGCTTCTTCGAACCTGTAATCTTTCTAAACGAGATATTATACCCGCGTCTCACCGGACCCCCACCCTAAACCTGTATTGGTACCCAATCGCCCTACGTGTGTACTACCACGTTGCATGCGAATTTCTTTTTCGCTCCTTCTTCATTCCTTTTTGTTTATGGTAGTGTGCAAATGCGAATACTAACCACAGCGACACAAGCCTGATGTGAGGTTTCACGGTGGAGAGAAGTAGAGCCCCTGAGGCCCCAAAATTGCTTCCTCCCCTTTCTTTCCGTCTTGTTCTCTCTCGTTCTTCACCTTTTCGTTCTGCAAAACTCTCAGCTGGATCTCCCGAAGTTGGCCAGCCATTCAGAAAAAAAAAAATTCACGTACAGTGGCGTTGGTATTTGCCATAAAAAAATTGAGAATTCAAAAAATCACTCTTATGATGACATGGAACGAAGAACATTATATAATGCTTTCATATAATGAAAGTGGTGAATAGATCATGGTTATTATATGCTCCGATAAATTTCATAATTTCACTTCGTTGTAACAAAAACTATTTAGAGAGTTAATTGCTCAGTGAAAATCGATATATCATCTACCACTGAGTCTATCTTTATTCTATTTATACATAATCCCAATTACATATTAATTGTGATAAAGGCCTTGGGCTACAGCTCGACCTGTAATCCTTATATTCATAAGATTTTTTTTCAATCCTGCAACGTAAATATTAGTCTTTACTCTCCTACAATTAACACGTTTCCTTTTCTCCTGGGCCTTAGGGGTCCTATCAATTGTAAATTTCGTCTGACAATTGTGAAATTAATGGGTTCACTCCAGATTATGTACAATGATCTAAAAGTGTCAAAAAAAAAAAATAAATAAGAAGAAAAAGAGTAAAGTGGCCGTTGTAAATGTGAATAGTGTTTGTTAGAAAGGGAAATGCATAAGAGATTATATCCGCAGTAATTCAATAGCTACTAGATTATTTTCCAGTAATGAATTACCCTTGAAGGTATAGCTAGGAAATACAGC